GTTCTTTTGAAAAGGAATATCTTAATGTTGCCGACAAGACAGAGGATGGTGTCCTGCTCCTCGCAACACACATCCTCTAAATGGGGCGGCATTGGAGAAACTAAAATTAAATCCTAATGTTGAAAATCAAGCGCTTGACAAAATAAGGAGATCGAAGATATCGGCATTTTCCCGCAAGTTTGAGAATCTTCATCGAGTTTTTACAAAACATTCTTTTATTTTGCTTTGGCTCAACAGCTTTAAAGTCCGTTAAAAATACATTTGTATTTTGCTTTAAAAAAAAAAACATTGAAAAACATTGGCACATAGAAAAGCGCACAAAACGTAACTTTTCAGTTTCCATGGACAGTCAAGCTATGGAATTTACCAAACAGTGGCGTCCAATTTCTCTCAAATTTACCTCTGACACCAGGTGGCTCTACTTCTTCAATCGCAAACATTCTGATTTCTATCCAAGACACAAGGGTCATTTTAAAATACAAAGTCAGACAATTTTAAGGAACAAGCTTTGAGGTTACACCAGAATAGCTTCATATGTCCAACTAATGACGAGGGCCTGAATCCACCGTATCATACCAACATTAAATCTTTGTTCTAAATTCTTGATCCTTTTACACCAGAATAACTCCATATGTCCAACTAATGACGAGGGCCTGAATCCACCGTATCATACCAACATTAAATCTTTAAACACGTTTCAATAATAATTTAACATTCACATGAGTCTATAACTCAACTCCCAAACAAACCTGGACAACTTACCGGGTTTTCCTCGTGATCAAGCGGGCAAGACAGAAATTTATAGGTTCAGGCCTTTTTCCGGCAGTTCAACTAGTTGCAAATAAAAACAAGGTATGCATAGTTTCGGGACGTCTTATTAAAATACAAATTAAAACAACCTTCTGTTCAAAATGCGTCTGTGAGTTCTGCGTTTGAAACATTGTAAATGTTAAAGAAACGACACTGTTCTGGCAATTTCTGCTATAGGAAACATACATCATCGCACACGAGTACATTCTCATATTATGACAGAGTAAGTAGGAACGTAGATGTACCGAACCAGAGTTTGATCAATTATGCTCAACACTGAATACTGCGTTAACAAAGATTTCCATCATTCTATAGAAAAAAAAAGAAAGACAAAATGTAAAGATGTGTATTGTAACTGTTAGATGTTTGCCCTGACTTTAAAAATGGTCATTATCGAACGATTAGATAATGGTACTAAAACAAAGGAATGACTATGAAGGTAATTGGACTCAATAATACTGTTTTTCTAAAATTCCTTGACACCCGTTCTTGGGGGCTGATCAGGAAGTTATATTGAAAATGTCATTCAAAATTGATACTGTACCAGGTTATTATTACAGTAATTTTGGATAGCAGAAACAAAACAATTGGTACCAACTATTTTCTACGCGAGTAATTATTTTCGTTTCTAATTGGACATGGCTGGAAACTAAACCAGAATGCTTGGATTCTAAGTGGATTTTCATGATTATTCCATAGTTTCGAGATGACGAAAAAGAGATAGGAAGTGGGGGATGCATCTTAATGAGATACCCATTTAAATGATGAATCTAGGTAGAACATAACAAAGCAAAAAAATAGTTCCATATTAGGAATATGTCAAAGAAGAAGAGCCAATTAAAGTTAATTCAGCACGTAAAAAGGATCAACAAATTATATAACTTGGAGACGTGTAATTAGACTCAGCTGATCAGGACAAATTGCAAAATTCCACGTTTTAGATGTTTTTCAGTAACGTAAACAACGAGCTCTTTGTTTTTCTTTTTTCTTGTACTAAATTCAAAATCCTGTTTTCCCATCAACTCATCGATCTGTTGAGATAGTGTCAATATAAAAAGACAACTCAAGTCTGTTCTTTTAAAACAAAGACAGTAACTGAACAGGTAAGTAAGTTGTCCCTTAGATGAGGGTATTTGGAAGAAAGACAGTGACCTAAAAATATATATTATATAGTAAAGAGGAATAAAAGAGAGAAAGAGAAATAGATAGATAAAGAGAGAGAGAGAGAGAGAGAGAGAGAGAGAGAGAGAGAGAGAGAGAGAGAGAGATAGAGAGAGAGAGAGAGAGGGGGGGGCAGACAGACAGACAGCTAGATAGATAGATAGAAAGATAGATAGACAGGTAGATAGATAGATAGATAAATAGAGAGAAAGAGAGAGAGAGACAGAGAAAGAGAGAGAGAGAGAGAGAGAGAGAGAGAGAAAGAGAGGCTAATAGAGTCCAGAGAGTGAAAGAAAACATACATTTCAACAGAGAAGTAGTGAGCTTGAGTGATAATTAAGAAAAGAAAGCCCACAAACACACGCACACAAAAAAAGACATTTATACACACTTAAAAGAATAAGGTAGATTTTTAACACACATACACTTATATACAAATACATACAAACACACATTTATCTATCTATCTATCTATCTATCTATCTATCTATCTATCTATCTATCTATCTATATATCTATCTATTTATCTATCTATCTGTTGCTTCAGTACAATATGAACTTAGAATCTATACTGAAAGAACACGATACTGTTCGTTGAGTTGGGAACGTCGGTCATTATTGACCAAAATACAAAATGCGCTTTTAGGAAATGGTCGACTTCCGTAGGTGGGCTTGAATTGCGTTCCACAGAGAGGGAACTAATATGTAAAGGCTCTTCCTCCAAGTCTTTGACCTTGACTCTGGGTGGGTTTAAAAATCTGTTCTTGATTGCCCTTAAAGGTGGAGATAGCATATTATATTCGATAAACATGTCGCAAAGATAATGCATCGTGTCTAAAAAAATATGACCAACTTAAAGGACAATAACTCAGTCATAAGTGCAGCAATTTTAACTAAACTTGGAACAAATTAAATTCATCAAAAGGGAGATCAAGTTTGCAAATATGCAAAAAAACTTCTTTGTGAAATATCAAGTTTTAAAATTGTCAACCAAATCTGGGTAAAACGCAAAATTATTTCAGTTTCTTAAAAGTATTCAGCTAAAGGGACGTGGTAGACCCGTTTTAGTTTCTATATAAATACGGTAAATCCACGACAGTCACATCAAACGGATATCTGACCTTGCCGGGAAAGTTTTCGAGAAGTTTGTGGAGGAGAAAGTGTTATGCAGTAAATGCCTTCTGTCAGTGGGATGGGCAACAACCCAAATGTTTAGAGTGGCCCTAGCATGGTAGCAAGGAAGTTTTGGGAATCGTCTAAAAGCCCTAAATTTACAAATGAATTGTCACCATATTCCCCCAGACTTCAGCCCTTTAAATTATTACAACTGGGGATTTTTTTTGGCAAACAGAATCTGCGGACTTAATCCACAAACGATCGGGCAGATGAAACTCAATGTTGGACAGGACGTCCACAGAATCAATCCCAAAACACACTATGGGATTATTAAAACTTTCTAGTGACATATTGGCGCATGTATGGAGATAAATGGTCAACCCCTGGAGGTTTGAATAGGCAACACGTCTCTGGGATTATTCGGCAATATCATTTGTGTATACATGTGTTATGCAGTGCACAAATAGTGACTATTTGAATTACAACAGTATGTACAGTTTATAAGAAATTGCAAAGTTTTGGGTTTCACTCAATTTTGGTTAAAATTTGTAAAAAGCTTGATATTTTTCAAAATTGATGATTGATTGATTTTTGGGGACAAATTTAATGTCCTCCTGGCTGAGTTTGATTGCCTCAAGGTTTCGTTGAACTTGGCCTAAAGATGATCGAGTTATTACCCTTTATATGGGTACTCGTTTTTTAAACAGCGTATTATTTAGGTGTAATATTGTTCACTGATTTAAAACAAAACAAAACATATCTCTTGTACTGAATGATAATGTACTTTAACAGGGATCAAGTGAAGTTGGATTAGCATCAATATTACATGTTCCTTGTGGGATTTATTCTGTGAAATCATGCGAGCAGCCTAGTTCTAGCTTTGCTGTAAGCAGTTCGTCGTTTCTTTTTATGTAGTTGTTGTTACGTCTTTGTTTGCACAAGGTATATCATTTAGGAGGTGGGCTGCCGCTCACGCCTGCAAGAGTCAGTCCGGAACTAATACCGGGTGCGTATTGCGGATGGGATCAGGTAGGGTCGGGCCTATTCAATCGCACCACTCGTCGCTTGAAAAAAAAAACGCGTTTGTTTTTTAGGCGACGTATCGGGCAGGATCGGCTTCTTCCACGATAGCCTTCAATCGGGCTAGCAAACCCTACCCGATCCCCCAATGAGCACCCCGTTAGAAGTAAAACATCTCAACAGAAAGACTGAGACACTCGATAAAAAATAGATCTTCCCTCTCAGGAATCAGACTCGGTCCCCTGCATGTGACAGCAAAGCGCCCTCCCGCTTCACCGGAGATGCGGCATTGTGTCAGTGGGAAGATTTTGGTACAGATTACGTACGACAACAAAGTTTGACTCAATAACAAAGTTTGACTCAAACCTTTAAGCACAGTCCGAGATAGACCAAGGCGTCAGCCTAACTTCATTATCAAAAATAGACTGAGATAGTATATCATGTTGTCAAGCGCACCTCTTCTATCGATGCAATAATAGACACTTCAATTTGATCATCGTCAGAGAGGAGGTCATTCAGGACTTTTTACAGTCTCCATTTTGTGAAAATACCTCTACTAAAGAAGCAGTCATATTCCCCTGGTGAGTTGAAAAACTACAAGTCTAAAATCTCAGAATAAGCTGACCACTCTCAATGGAAACACGTCTTTTAAATTGTTATCAGTCGGCCCACAGAGCGCCTTTAAAAGCACATGAATCCAATCCTGTTTACTTTTCCATTTCTTTTAATAAATGTTGTTTTTTTAATGTAGTTTTTATGTGCCTTGGAACTAACCAAGATAATTTAGGAAAGTGGTTTTCTTTTGTTTGAGTAATCATTTCACCTTCTCCGGTCTTTTTGTGTTCATAAACAGGCGTCATTACTTTTTTCCAGTTGACGGATTCCACAAAACGTACGCACACCGAAGTAAGAGATGGGTCCTGGAAATGGAAGCCAGACGACTCTCCCAGAATCGGTATCGAAAGGGATCGTAAGCGCTGGTCTCCTTAACATCTTTGTCATTACTTTCTACGTCGCCGCTACGGGAACTATCTCTTTCTCTGGTATCATTTTTAATATCATCAACATAATTGTGTTTTTGAAGCAAGGCCTAAAGGACAGCGTAAATATTACTTTATTCAGCATGGCTATCTCCGATACGGGATCTCTGATGGGACTCTTTTATGTGAGCATCAGTTTTAACCCATGGCTTGTCAACGCCGATTTGCCATTCGACCCTTTAGACCTCCAGCACCTCGCTGGCGGTTGGGTACATATACTGTTTGCCCGCATTACAAGTTGGATTACAGCGTTCGTTACGTTTGAGAGATGTCTGTGTATCGCTCTGCCTCTCAAAGTGAAAAATATCATAACACCCCGGCGAACAATTGTGGTAGTTGTCTCTATATATTTAACCATGTTGGCTTTTGTTGCCCCTGTGTATTATTCAACCCGCCTGGGTCCTAAGTTTTTCCCAGAGAAAAATAAGACAATGATAGGTTTATTATACGTACTCAATGGCCCATCCATTGAGAAAGTTTCTTTGGCACTCAATGTTCTGGCTCAGTTTGGTGCATTTTTCGCGGTTATCATTTGCACCGTAATCCTTGTTCACAATTTGCTGCTTAAATCAAAATGGCGACAATCGACTTCTTCTTCAGCCAAGCAGGAATCTTTATCACAAAGAGACAAAAAAGTAGTTAAAATAGTTCTTCTCATTTCAACAATATTCATCTTTTGTTTTTTTCCTGGTGCAGTCTCCTTTATTGCTATGAGTACTGTTAATGGGTTCAATGTCAATGGCAGATATCACAACATATTTTTGCTTACATGGTCAATGTTTAAGACCCTTCAAGCTACTAATTCAACTGTAAACATTTTTATATACTACAACATGAGTTCAAAGTATAAAGAAATACTGGACGAAATGTTGCACAGAAAGAAAGGAAATATTGATTAATGTACATAAAGGACAATGCGGGTTACCCACGTTCAAATTGTATTCAAAGTCACAGAATGAGATTTTGAGCGTTCTTAACTTCAAGGAAACAGAACATGATGTTTGAGAGGAATGCAATCTACAAGAACATTTTGAAGACAATACCTCTTGCAAGGATATCCCAAAGCAGAATAGATATTTGTTCTTTTGAGTTTAAAAATAACCATGTTCATATTTTTTATTTTCAAATGTATTTTGTTGTGTTTTCATATCATATCTATTGCGTCTGTTGGCATTTTGAAAAAATCTATCTATCTATCTATCTATCAATCTATCTATCTATCTATCGATCTATCTATCTTCTATCTACCAACCAACCTACCTACCTACCTACCTACATACCTACCTTCCTACCTATCTATCTATCTATCTATCTATCTATCTATCTATCTATCTATCTATCTATCTATGATTTCGTCCACCCTGGTTCGTGTGACTTTCGTTCAATATCTAGCGCCACTTCTTGCTTTCATATACGTTGTTTCGCCTCTGATTCTCTAAACGAGGCCGATTGTTATACCAAGATTTATTGGAATAACAAAAAAAGTGTTACCTGGTGATCAGCAAAGACCGACGAAAGTTACAAAAAAGGCCAGTGTGATCAGAGGATTACGATGTGGGCAGTGATTAGATATTGATGATGTTATTAATGTTAATTGTGAACGCATTATTAAGCAAAGGGTACAGTTCCACCGCGCTTCAAAACAGCATCTATCTTACCTCTGATTAATAAGCCTGGCCTTGACCCTAATGACCTAAATAACTACCGTCCAGTATCAAACTTACCTTTTCTTTCGAAAGCTTTAGAAAAAGTTGTTCTTGCACAACTAAAAGATCACCTGACAAAGAATAACTTGTTTGAGCCATTTCAATTGGCATACAGAGAAAACCATAGTTCTGAGACTGCTTAGCTCAGAATTGTCTCTGATCTACTCAATGCTGCAGATGAGGGTTTGATACCATTCTTTCACTTTTAGACCTGTCTGCAGCTTTTGATACTTTAGACCACAAAACATCATGCTGAGTCGTTTGTCGGACGTGTTCGGAATATCTGGCACCGTATTTGAATGGTTTCGATCTTACCTCAGCGATATATCATACTTTGTTGTTGTTGATTGCATGCAATCCTGTAATAAATTGCTGGAATTTGGTGAGCCCCAGGGTTAAGTCCTAAGAACTGTGCTGTACACTATGGACACCTTACCTCTTGGTCGTACAATCAGTCACCATTCCATGTTCTACCATATGTACGCAGATGATACACAACTTTACAAATCTGGAAAACCCAACAATATTCAATCTCTGTTAAAAAGGCAACTCAGAATGTTTTGAATCTGTAAAAGCATGGATGACTGAAAATAAATTGAAATTAATGATGACAAAACAGAAATCATGCAATGCTCAACCAGCTCAAAGATAAATGCTCTTGATGTAGAATGTCTCACCATTGGCAAAGGTAATATCGCTTTTTCGAACAACGCAAAAAATCTTAGAGTATACTTAGACAAAGACTTGTCAATGGAGACCCAACTTAACAATCTATGTAAAATTTTATACTTAGAAATGAGAAGAATTGCTCACATAAGGAAATTTCTTAGCACTGAATAGAATGAAGAGAAAGACAAAGAGACCACCCTAAGCAATGTTGCTAGGCTAGTATTAAAGCAATCAAAACGCCATCATGTGACTCCCCTCCTTTAAGAGCTCCATTGGCTTCCACTGAAATCGAGAATCGAATATAAGTTAGCCCTACTATGCTTCAAAGGTCAAACTAACCAGTCTCCCACATGCATTCAAGAACTCATTGTACCATACACACCATCAAGTGAACTAAAATCCAGTGTCTCTAGACTAATTTCAACACCTTGTGTGCCACTGAAGAAATATGGTGAGAGAACTTTTTCTTTTTCTGGGCCAACAGTTTGGAACACTCTCCCTCATGATTTGAGGACCGAAATAAAACTTGATACCTTCAAAAAGGGACTCAAAACACATCTATGTAAGAACTATTTTAATCAATGGACAGTACCTTGCCTTTTTGTATAAGCATTTTTTATTGTTTGATAGAATGTTGGTGTCAAAATGTGCGCGCATGATGAATTTGTATGGTGTTAGTATGAATGCGTTTTTAATCACCTATGTACGCCTTGGGCCCATGTTGTGCGGAAAGGCGGGATACAAATGCTCTTTTTAATCATTGCATCATCAGGCCTTTTTTTTCTCGAATAACATTTTCATCCCACCACAGTCCTGTCTGACCAATACCTGTTCATCCTACAAAACTACTGAAGATTTTCGAGACTGCATATCTTAAGTAGGGACGAAGGGAAACATAACCATCACTTTTAGCAAGATAAATCTGCACGTCATTATGTTCTGCTGAATTTGATCCCCAAAAATTTGGATCTTAGTCCACTGGACGTTTACTTTGGGGTGTCTTCAAAGACTAAGTGAGTGAGAAACCTTCGACAAGTTTTTGTACTTGAGAGAAGCCACGAATTTGTCAATCCACTCACAAGGTCAATTCACTCAGAGCGTCAGATTGTGCCTTACTCGAAATAGGAGGCATCAGGAACATAGTTTATAACTTTGTTTGTAGTAGTCATAACTTTATATCAAATCAAATTCAGATTAGAGTTTCACATTTCTGCAAACTATGTTGTGTGTACCTTTATTTTTACTGGTTTTATTAGTGTTCTTTTTGTACATTTTTTCTTTTGTTTCTTGTCACTGGTACATTACACACACACACACACACACACACACACACAAACACTCACATACACACGTGCGCGCGCAAACACACAAGCACACATGAAAGAGCTCTCTCTCTCTCTCTTTCTCTCTCTCTCTCACACACACACATGCGCCTCACACTCACGCACATACAGAGCTCACGCACATACAGAGCTCACAAACACACACGCGTCAGCGCACACGCAAAGGCGCTGTCTTTCATACACACACACACTCTCTCTCTCTCTTTCTCTCTCTCTCTCTTTCTCTCTCTCTCTCCTATCTCTACGCCTTTGCTTCTATCACCTACTCTCTTCTATTCTCTCCTCCCCCCTCTCTTTCTCTCTCTCTCTCCCCCTCTCTCTATCCCTTTCTTTGTTTCTCTCCCCTCTCTCTCTCTTTCTTTCTCTCTCTCTTTCTTTCTCTCTCTCTCCCCCCTCTCTCCCTCTAACAGCCCCCCCGCCCTTCCCCCCACACACAGACACCCACAAACACACGTCTACTAACGTCAGTCAGTAACACGCTGGGCAGGAACATTAACCCACCCCTGCCACCCTTGAAAAAGGCATAAAAATCTCAGACTATAATAATCCCTTTCCTGCCCTTATCACTGCCTGGGAGGCATATGTACCCATAGACCCTCCGTTTACCTTTCTTTCTTTCCCTGCCTTCTCTCTAACTCTGCACGTTTCTCACTATAGACCATGTCTGGTACAGTTTGGCAACTACCCCTGGGTCGGAAGACGTCTGATCTGTCTACCGTTAGTCGTCTTTGAACCTGCCTATGAAACCCTTTACTCTTTCTGTTAATTCTTAAATTGCCACCCCCCCCCTCCCACTATAGTTGGAGAACGAAAGACAACAACAACAATAACAACGACAGCAACAACAACAGCAACAACAACAACAACAGCATCAAAAACAAACGAACAAACAAACAATCCCCCCGTCCCTTCCCTGCCTTGTAGTCGATCTCGTCTTTACATACGAGGCAATCCTTACAATAATCTTATCTGATGCTTTTCACGTCTGGCTCTTCATAACAAAAAATCATTTCTCACTTCTGGTCAGTATCAACAGCTACCCCAACCCCCATACCCCATATCTGGGTTGACCTTTATAGGGGGGGGGGGGGCACTTGACACTGTAACTGTAACAGGAGCATGGAATTTTGTAGAACAGTTCACTTCAAACACAACAGCAGCAGCAGGGGATACATACATTCTCACACAAGATGTGAAAAGAACAACGTACAGGCATCTCGTATACTCGAGGATGTTCATGCGAGATATTAAAATTAGCTGCAGCGTGTCGTCTTTGTTCTCTCTCTCTCTCTCTCTCTCTCTCTCTCTCTCTCTCTCTCTCTCTCTCT